ACCTTAGAACGTAAACTACTAGGCCTTATCTAACTATGACACACGTGCTTGTTACCTTAGAACGTAAACTACTAGGCCTTATCTAACTCTGACACACGTGCTTGTTACCTTAGGAACGTAAACTACTAGGCCTTATCTAACTCTGACATACGTACTTGTTATCTTGGAAACGTAAACTACTAGGACTACTAGGCCTTATCTAACTCTGACGCACGTGCTTGTTATCCTGGGAACGTAAAATACTAGGTCTTATCCAACTCTGATGCACGTGCTTGTTATCTTGGGAACGTAAACTACTAGGCCTTATCTAACTCTGACATACGTACTTGTTATCTTGGGAACGTAAACTACTAGGACTACTAGGCTTTATCCAACTCTGATGCACATGCTTGTTATCTTGGGAACGTAAACTACGAGGCCTTATTGAACTCTGATGCACGTGCTTGTTATCTATTCAACGTTAATTCTGCGTTTTTAGTATACTTATAACATTAAAATTACGTGTTTGTTTTATTTCCAACATTAATATTACGTGTTTTTACATGTCCAACATTACTTTTACGTGTGACTTATATTTTCAACGTTAATATTTTGTTTTGCTATAGTTTTAGTATAAATAACACGTATATGGTATATTTCCAACATTAATACTACGATGTTCTAATTATTATAAAGTATGTATTGTTTAACGTATTCTCGTGAAAACGAGTTCTGTTGCTGTAATGTGTTCCATTGTTATAACGAGTTCTAAGATTGTAACGAGTTCTATTGTTGTAACGTGTACCATAGTTATAACGAGTTCTATCATTGTAACGAGTTCTATTGCTGTAACGTGTTCCATCGTTACAACGAGTTCTATCATTGTAACGAGTTCTATTGTTGTAACGTGTACCATCGTTATAAAGAGTGCTATCATTGTAACGAGTTCTGTTGTTGTAACGTGTTCCATCGTTATAACGAGTTCTATCATTGTAACGAGTTCTATTGTTGTAACGTCTACCATCGTTATAACGAGTTCTATTGTTGTATTATCTTCTATCTTTGTAACAAGTACTATCATTGTAAGATGTTCCATCACTGTAACGAGTTCTATCATTGTAACGAGTTCTATTGTTGTAACGTGTTCTATTGTTGGGTGTGTTCTATTGTTGTAATGTGTTATATTGTTGGGTGTGTTCTTTGGATAATTCGGTAAAAGTAATATGAAGTTATGTGTCCAATATTAACATGCATGTTTGTTTTGTCTCCAATATTAACATGCATGTTTGTTTTGTCTCCAATATTAACATGTGTGTTTGTTATGTCTCCAATATTAACGTGCATGTTTGTTATGTCTCCAATATTAACATGGATGTTTGTTATGTCTCAATATTACCATGCATGTTTGTTATGTCTCAATATTACCATGCATGTTTGTTTTTTCTCCAATATTAACATGCATGTTTGTTTTGTCTCCAATATTAACTTGCGTGTTTGTTTTGTCTCCAATATTAACGTGCGTGTTTCTTATGTGTCCAATATTAACGTGCGTGTTTTTTATGTCTCCAATATTAACATGCATGATTGTTTTGTCTACAATATTAACGTGCGTGTTTACTATGTGTACAATGCTAACATGCGTGTTTGTTATATCTCTAACTTAAGCGTGCGTGTTAGTTTTGTCTCCAATATTAACGTGCGTGCTTGTTATGTCACTAATATAGTAACATGCGTGTTTGTTATGTGTCTAGTATTAACATGCGTGTTTGTTATGTCTCCAGTATTAAGTGCGTGTTTGTAATGTCTCTAATTTAAGCGTGTGTGTGTTTGTTATGTGTCCAATATTAACGAGCGTGTTTGTTATGTCTGAAATATATTAACATGTGTGTTTGTTATATTTACAGAGCAAAAAGAAACAACAACACAAGAAAACCAACCAAGAAGTAAGTAATGTAATGTAAGTCTGATTGAAATAACTTTCTGTTTTAAAAACAGTTTCATAGTTTAATTCTGTGAATAACGTTGGTTAACAGAAACAGTTCCCACGATAGTTAGGTACGATATTGGTTCTCACGATAGTTAGGTACTTTATTGGTTTTCACGATAGTTAGGTACGATATTGGTTCTCACGATAGTTAGGTACGTTATTGGTTCTCACGCTAGGTAGATCGGATACTGATTTTAACAGCAGATTGATAAGGTTTGGTTCTTACGGTAGCTAGGTAGGATATTGGTTCTTACCCACTTTAAAAGGCCTAAATAAAAATACAAATAAAAAGGCTTTTGAGCGTAGTGGATCAATGTATAACCGTACCAAGTTTCAAGTCAATCTGCCGATAAATGAAGAAACGGCGATCGGTTGAAAAGTATTTGGAAGAACAAGAAACAATAGAAAACAATTTGTTTCTCTACGGAGGCATAATTATAGACTAATAAATAATTATAGCCTAATAAATAATTATAGATTAATAAAGTAGTTATAGATTAATAAATAATTATAGACTAATAAAGTAGTTATAGATTAATAAATAATTATAGACTAATAAAGTAGTTAT